TAAAAGGAAAAGAAAACTATGACCCTCTTTCTAAAGAAAAAAAATATACTATACAAGAAGAAAAAAAATTAACGATAAAAATATTAACAAATATATTATTGTTTTTTGGAATAAATAAATTAACACATTCAAAGTAAGAAACTTAACATCTCGATTGTAAAATATCATATCTGTGACAACAGTTTTGAAGCAGTCAATAGTTTCACCTATTTGGGCTCTGAATTGAACACCATTAATTACTTAACGCCAGAAGTACGTAACAGAATAACAACTGGTCACAAGTGTTTTTATGGAGTATACAAATATTTAAAATCTAGTCTCCACAACAGCAGGAAAACAAAATTACTGCTCTACAACGCGTAAATCAGCCCCATAGCTACATCAGCTGCTGAAATATGGACAGTTACTGATATTGATAAGCTTGCATGGTAATACTTTTAATTTCGTTTCTTGTAACGAAAGTAAAAATATAACGTAGGTACTTGTACTTCGTTACTATTTAAACTGACTTGTTTTTTTCTAAATTAAAAATTTTTCTCGAAAAAATTATTTTTCAAATTGCTTTTTTTCTTAATTTATAAAATGAATAATACATTCTTTAACAGCTAACTTCTTTTTCCAAACATCACACACTTTTTTCAAAAATCATTGAATGACAAGCTTCAATTATAAAATGCATCCTAATTTATTAATTGCTGTATTTAAGAAATGCAATAAACAATAAGGATAAATATATTTATATAATATTATTGAAAATGATTTAAACTAACAAGCAAACAAAACATTTCCTGCAAAAAAAAAAAAAAAGTAATCGTTTAATTTATATACATTTAATAACAATAAAATGCTGATCATAAGTTAGATTTAAATTAAAAGAGAAAAATTATTAAAATGTTAAAATTTTTTATCCATGTAGTGCTTGTCATTAAACTTTCATTTATAATTAAGGATAATTAAAATGTTTACTAACAGATTTGTGTAGCTTAATGTTTATATCTTTAGAAAGATACAATCCGTAAATTACTTTGTTATTGATACATAATTGAGTATTCCAAAACAAATGATTAAATGAAGAGGAAGGAGACTCATGTAAGTTGCTTTTAAGAAATTCCTATATCAATCTTTCCTAGGAATTCCTATATCTAATCTTTCCGAGAAATTCCTATATCAATCCAAATTTCTATACAATTTTATATCAGTGCTACTGCAAACGTGTCGTTCACCAGAAAAACTCCTTCAGTTAAGCAAGAGAACGGTTAGTGAAATGAATGACAAGCAAATAGATCCAGCGCCAGATCCAGCGCCAGATCCAGCTGTGCACCAGACGCGTCAACCATTACGTTTCAAAAACATCATCAAGAATTAGTATAGTGCTGCCATCTTTTGATTAACTTCGTAATGACTAATAATTTTTTTAAAATTTCAAAACCGTAAATGACTTAGCTTTATTTTACAGCCATTACTTTTTGTTTTGTTCTGTTTAAAGCTCTTCTTCGTTACTTGGTTTATGTCTGTTTTAAAAGACAAAACAGGACTTTTCAGAATGAAATCTTTTTTCTCTGATTCAAATTTTTAAACTGTTTCCTTCTTTTCTTTCATAAGATANCAGATGGATCTACTTACTTCTTGAAAATGTATAGCTCATTGGAAGTTTTTTTTAAATAAAAATCCAAGCAAAAAGATTCTTTAATATGTTCAAACCAAATTAAAAAATAACATACTTTGAAATTGTTAACTTTTTAAAATATTCAGAATAAAAATTATGCAATTTTGTTGATTATTTCTAACAGCTTACCACTAGATAATTATAAAAATACCCATATATTTAATGAAATTTCTAATTTTTAATATTCCTACAATAAAAAAGAAAAAGACAGTAAAATAAAAACAGTTATTTCCCCTATAAAAATAGCAGGTCAGATGAAATAAAAAGAAAATTTGTTAAATTTGTTAATATCATAAAATATTCACTGAAAACTAAGAATATAAACTTGAATATTTTTCTTAACTAACTGTGTAAAACTAAGAACATTTTTCATATTTCTTTAAAAAAGAAAAAGCTACGTAAAACGATTTCTTTTCAACTGTAAATAAATTTTAAAATTATCCGACATGGATTGAATTCAAGAATAAAAAAATTAGATGTATTTTTTTAAAAATAATATTGTTATCAAAATATATTTAGTACAATTAAACTCCTACAGATGACAGCACTAACTAATTTTTGATGATGTCAATGAAATGAAGTGGTGGGCATATCTGGTGCAACCATGGAGCTAGCAGCTCCATGGAGCTCCATGGGTGCAACGCGTGTCATGCCCACTACTACGTTTCATTACATCATTAAAAATTATTGTAGTGCTGTCATCTGTAGGATTTTGATTATACTATATATATTTTAATAACAATATTATAATAAAAAATATGCATAATTTTCTTATTCTTGAATTCAATCATGTTTCGTACAATTTTAAACTTTATTTACAGTTGAAATGAAATATTATTTATTAGTTTTCTCTTTATTAAAAAATCGAGAAATGTTCTTGGTTTTACACAGGGTTAATATTTTATGATATTAACAAAATCAAATTTTTTTTTCTTTTTTATCTTAGTGTAACGTATTATTTTTATTAGGTACAAACTGTTTTCTTTCTACTCTTCAATTTTAATTAAAAAAAATTTTAAGTTTTTTTTATTTTAAGATTATAAAAATTTGTAATTTCATTAAACAATGCGTGGGGTTTGAAATTTCATTAAACAATCTCTCGACAATGTCAACCTTATTCATCTGCCCAACATAGATTCCAGTTAACAAGTTTTATATATTTGTAAATTGGAATTGAAGAATTTTAGTGGTAGGCACGCTGCAAACGTATGTGCTTTTCTAATTATCAAGAGGTAAGTTGTTAGAAGTAATCAATATAATTGTTTTTCTTACTTTGCATATTTTACAAAGTCAACAATATCGAAGTATGTTATTTTTGACTTTAGTTTGAACATATTGAAGAAACTCTGTTTAGATTTTTATTAAAAAAGAACTTTCCAACATACTACATATTTTCAAAAAGTAAGATAATTCTTTTTTTGTTTTTGATGTAATTTAAGATAGAAATATTCTTCAGATATATATATGTGTTTTGGAACTTATTAAAAAAAAAAAAAAGAGTCAAAATTTTAACTGCGTGTTTCTACAGTTATCTATTCTGAAATAGATATATATGTATTCAGATTTGTATTGAAATTATAACAATTCTTGCATTTTTTTATCTTATGAAAGTAAACGAAAATAATTTAAAAATACTAATAATTATTAAAACTAAATAATTATTAAAACTAAACCTCGAGGTTTAGTTTTGAAAAGAACTTTTTTCTTTTAAAAAAGAAATAAGCTAAATAGCGAAGAAGAGAGCAAGAAAAGAACAGAAAAGAAAACTTTAAACTGAAAAGAAAAAGCAATGGTTGTCAAATGATGCTAAGTTAATTATGGTTTTGAAATTAAAAGAAATTATTTGTCATTATGAAATCGATCTAAAGATGGCAGCACTACAGTAATTCTTGATGACGTTAATGAAATTTAATGTTGGGTGTGTCAGGCGCACCGTTCGTCTTGAAATGCCGCTGGATTGGAAAATTCCATACATTACAATAATCAAAGACGGTAAAATACTGATAAAGCACCTTTCAAATTGTGACGAATATCACCAAGATGCCGGATAGGGCGAATACACGGTACCGATTGACGAGGGGAAAAAAACTTTTACTTGAAAAGACCTCAATATTATTGAACTTATTGAAGGAAAGTGGGGTAAGACCGGGTAGCTAATTCGAAGAAGTTAAGATTCGTTACAGCTAAACTGTTCGACCCAGAAACTGTCAGATTTAATCAAGATAATTGTTTCTTAGTTGTGTACAATACATCATTCTTGAAAACTCATTGCACTACTTTATTTACAAGGGCGCCGGCAGGGGGGTGCAAGGAGGTGCACTTGCACCCCCTGGCTTTTTTTAAACAATTAAAGAGATACAGAAAAACAATTTTGTTATAAATTTTTTTTATTAAAAATATTTTTATTCAAAAAAAAATAATTAAGTAATTATTGCTACATAACAATTGAAAAATTGCCTAATCAAACAAGAACTGTAATCGTCTTGTCAGCTGTCCAAATCTGTTTAAAACTTTTTCAATGAATTCTGAGTCATCTTTGATTCTTTTCTTATGCACACTGAGGATGCACAAACTACTTAATTTCTGGTGAGACATTGTAGACCGATTCCATGTTTTGATGCGTCGCATTGTACTAAACGTGCGTTCAATAGTGCAAGTAGCAGCTGGAAGAGTTAGACCAATTTTGATTGCCTGAGAAATGTATCGTTGTCGATCCCGAGAGCTATGCCGGCGGTAGCTTAACTACTGGCAGGGTCACCCAAGCCGGACAGGTCGGAGGGGAGACACCAGACCAAGAGGAACACCCTGCTCCTCCAGGTTGGGCGTGGGGCTAACTACCCCACCCCGGATAAAAAAAGCTCGAGTTAAGAAACCTCAGCAAAATGCAAAACCCGGCTCACATCCACCCAGACGACTCGGAACGAAAAAGGACATGAGATTTGGAACATGGAACATTTGCACCTTGCATAAAGCTGGAGCATTAAAGAGCCTGATAGATGTATTTGTTGACTACAGACTTGACATCCTCGCAATCCAAGAAATCAGATGGTTGGGCAATGGAATTATGGATAAAAAGGATTGCAGAATATACTACAGTTGCCAGGACAAAATTCTCCAATTCGGTGTAGGTTTTGTCGTGAGCAAAAGACTGAGAAATACTCTCATCGACTTCCAGGCTATTAGCATGAGACTCTGTAAAATCAGGCTAAAAGGAAAACATTACAATACCACCTTAATCTGTGCTCATGCACCAACTGAAGAAAAAGATGCTTCTGAAAAAGATATCTTCTATGACCTGTTGATGAGAAGCATTAACTAGTGCCCAGCACAAGACATGAAGATCGTTATTGGAGACTTCAACGCTAAAATTGGAAAAGAACAACACCTTAGATACCACGCGGGTGCTGAAAGCCTGCACCACTACACCAGTGAAAATGGACAGAGACTCTTTGATTTTGCAGTCTCAGAGAATCTGTTTATTTCTAGCACAGCATTCCCACATAAAGAAGTCCACAAGCACACCTGGCGATCCCCAGATGGATCTACACATAATCAAATTGACCATCTACTTGTGGACAAGAGACATCGCAGCAATGTGCTTGATGTGAGAAGCTGCAGGGGTGCAAATGTAGATACAGACCATGTACTCGTCGTGTCCAAAGTGAGACTTCGACTCAGTAAAAGTTTTTATCAAAAGAAGGAAAACAAGGACTTTAAACTTGACATTTCTAAACTGAAAAACGACGAAATTCTTAAAGAGTATAACATCAAGCTACCCAACCGACTTTCTGAAGAAAAAGGAAGACCGAACATTGTTTTTAACTGGAATACAATAAAAGAAATTGTTTTGAAACCTGCAAGTGATACTATTCCAGAACTGGGGCGTCCTTCCAAAAACGAATGGTTCGATGAAGACTGCCATAAGGCAACTGAGGCTGTTAAAGATGCCTTTCAAGCCCTTGAGGCCTTTGCTATAAATATGGGCCTTTCCATTAACGAAGACAAGACCAAATTTATGGAGTTTTCAAGCTCAACTGTAAACTATAGTGAACCTTTGCAGATAAACGGACATTCCTTTGAAAAGGTTAAAGAATTTAAGTATCTTGGTACAATTATCAATGACCAAAACAAACTGAAATCTGAAATTGACAATAGAATCAATATGGCCAACAAATGTTTTTTTGGACTAAAAAGTCAACTAAGATCGAATTTTATTAGCCGAAAAACAAAACTAAAATTATATAAGACACTCATTCTGCCTGTCTTGCTATACGGAAACGAAACCTGGACTTTAAACCTTGACGTCCAACGCCCGATAGAAACGTTTGAAAGAANGCAGAAACAACGAAGGTGAACTCGTAAGTGAGCCTCAAGAGGTAACCAAAGTTTGGAAGAGTTACTTCCAAGACTTTCTAGTAGGAAAGGATGATATTTCTGTCCCTCGCAACAACCCAGAAGAACTAGCAATACTGAGGGATGCAGATAACCCCCACCTTCAATCGATGAAGTGATAATGGCTATAAAAAACTCAGAAACAACAGATCGGCTGGTCCCGATTTTATCCCATCTGAGCTTTTTTAAACCGGCGAACCCCAGCTTATTGATGCTATCCATAAACTCCTAATTGAAATCTGGAACACTGAGAATATACCCATTGAATGGGAAGAAGGTTCCATCTGCCCTATTTTTAAAAAAGGAGACCAACTTGAATGTCGTAACTACAGAGGTATAACACTCCTCAATACGGCATATAAAATCTTCTCCAATATTCTTTTCAAAAGGCTCCAGCCTTTTGCTGATAAAGTGGTCGGAAATTACCAATGTGGTTTTAGGCCTCAAAGTCTACCATTGACCAAATTCATACTCTAAGACAGATCCTTGAAAAAACTGAAGAATTCAACATCAGGACTTTTCACCTATTTATAGACTTCAAAGCTGCCTACGACAGTATTAAAAGAGATTAATTACTTGAAGCGAGGAACGAGATCGGAATCCCTACAAAACTCGTAAGTCTCACCCGTGCCACTATCAACAATGTGAGATGCAGGATTAAAATCCAAAGCCATCTATCTGAACCTTTCATTACCGAAAGAGGCCTGCGTCAGGGAGACTCTCTTGCTTGTCTGCTTTTTAACCTGGTATTGGATAAATGCATTCGGGATAGCGGATTAAACCGAGGAGGATCTATTTGGAACAGATCTCTTCAAATCCTCGCTTATGCGGACGACATTGACATCATAGGAAGATCAGAAAGGGCTGTTAAAGATGCCTTTCAAGCCCTTG